TTTTCGTGTATTTTTTTTTTTTTTTTTTTTTTTCTTTTGCTGAACGAGAACCCGTTAACGGTAGAATCGGATATCAGTAATTCGCAATTTTTAAATATGTGAACAAAAGATTCTAGTTCCTTTATTGGTACTTTAGTACTCTACTAGAGTAGTATTCTAAATATTTTAATTGTCTAGAGTAGTATTTTAAATATTTCAATTGTCTAGTATTGTGGGTAATATTCTTGCATGTTAGATTATATTTCAATAGTCTCATATTTTAATGTCACAGTCAAGATGAGCAATTTCAACGAGGATAGAATTTTTCCAAGGAAACTTTTCAAAGATCGCCGTCTCGAGATATTTACCTGAAATTGGCCGAATAGTCGGAGCAATTTTTGCAAAAATGTGGAAGAAATTAGCGCGGGCGATTATCGAGTTTCATTAGGGTTTCTAATTAATCCGCGTGCCACCAGCTTGCAATAATGGAGCATCGATTTTTAATAGGTCCCTCCATGGGAAGGTTGGTAAATTTGTGAAAGTTAATTAGTTTGCTGTTCGACTCCCACGAGAATTAATTATGGTTCTCTGCTGGCGAAGAAATTGAATTTAACTGTAAAGAATTTATCTCTCGACGAATGTTTAAAGATGAGGTGAGAAATGGTATTTCGTACAAATTGAATAAAATTTCGCGACTCTTCGAAGAAAGCAAACCTCTCGACTTCATTTCCAAATGTCCGAAATTGGATCGTATCGTGACAAGTTTCGCGAGCATATCTGGAATACAAAAGTTGCTCATTATCCTGCAATCCGTTCGAGTCCGGAAGGGAGGGAAGGAATCTTTCGCGCGCGATCGTTTCGAGGTCGTTAACGAGACAGCGGAATCACACCGGAGCTGTCCAGCCGGTGGAAATCCGAGGCACGGTCTATCGGATGAATCATTAAAATCCTTTTGTCGAGAGGTTCGCGAACAGGACCTTGTCGAGAACAAAGGACGAACCTCCGTGGTTGTTCACAATGCAATTTCCTTGCACCTTCTTAACCATTGGCGTGTTTGCGCCCTCTTTGCGGACAACAGATCCGCCATCGTAGTTCCTTCTCCAGAGTTTTCTGCTCATTCGAATGTGAAACTTCTGGTTTTTTCTTTTTTTTCTTTTTTTTTCTTTCATTCGTCGCCCGAGTAATTATTCTCCTTCTAATTATCGTTGCGTCCCCTCCGCGTTGTGCTTTGTTACAAGTTATAAAATAACAAACGTATCCCGTCAATAAAGAAGTTTACCTCGCGACAAGTAACTTTCAACATCTGAGATTTTATAAATATCATAAAATTTATGAGAATCGAGGTCAACTTGCAATCCATTTTGTAAAATCTTTCCTGAAATTTCAAATTAGATAATTTAATTTAATTAAGCAATTCTTTTCTTTGTTTTTTTTAGAAGGGGGGGGGTGGAATTTTGAGTTTTATAGAATTCTACTCCATTAAGAAGATAATTTCATTAAGAATCTTCGTTGAGAATGAATATATTTCGAGACGAAATTCGCAGAGTGCAACTCGTAATTTTGGTAGCCCGAGACATTATTGGATCGTTAATGAAACGCAGCGGTACGGGTATTTGTAGACTTCCAAAATTATTCGATCAACGAGTGCCAAGTGGAAGGATATTTGCAGAAGTTAATTGAAACGACAAGCGTCGTTTGTCATCGGCCACGAAGACACGGTTCAAACACAATGTCACGGTTGTCACGGTGAAAATTTCGCTCCGGGATAAACAAGAGCACGTACCACGTCCCTCCGACGTAAAATAATGAACATATTTTCCACCGGCTTCAGATATTTCTTTGCTCAGACGCGTCTCGAGACATCGAACGAAATAGAAATTTTCCTTTTCCCTTTGAGATTGAAATAAAATTTTAAAAAATTTGTGAAAGACGATTGACTGGAAAGACTTACACTTCGTAATTACGCTTCGAAGTTGATAATTCAAACACAATTGGAAATTCCAACAATTTGATAGATCCGTTCGATCAAAGATTCTAAATATTTTAAGTATTCGAGCTCTGCTCGAGTTACAAATTCTCGAAACTTGCTGAACGTCCGTTTAAATCGCCGTTTGAACGGTGAGTTGTGGAAAATTACACGAAACGAGAGTAACAGTTTTAAGAAGCGAAAACTGGAGTTTAATCGACGCTAAAACGAGAAGAAATTCCGACATAGAGGAAGTTGGAATGGAAATTTATACGTCCAAACTGTCCCGTTTCTCTTTCTTTCTTTTTCCCCTTTTAAGAATATCCCCTTTCATGTCGTTCTCGTATTGGAAACGAATTCCCACATGTGCATTTAGGTCGCGTTTCGAGTTCTGTCAATCGTCGATGACGATTTCTAGCACTTTTTTTTTCCTTTTCACGCAAACGCGGCGACGCGTGTCGGGGAGTTTCATTTTTGAAGCGATGCCAATGCCGCGCGCGTTTTATATTTGCACCGCGAATTTCGTTAATAACGGGCGGGTGTTGGCAAAAATTGTCGACCGCGTGTTTTCATCGATTGCGCGGCTTGCAATCTCGAAAATAGCGGGGCCTCGAACGCGTTTTCGATGTTCCCGAGGGAACGGAGGGGGGGAAAACTGTTTTCGACCGTTTCGTCGAAATTACGAGAAACATTCTCTCCACTCTGGAAAAGAACGGAAGGAATGTTTTATTTAAAAATAAGACGTACGTGCATTTTTCACAGAGGACGTAGGTAAATACAAAAGGCACATTTCATTCGCAAGTTATTAAATTATTAATTTCCTTCGCGATTCTACTCTTTTTTTTTTCATTTTTATTTTTCATAGCTTTCCCCGCATGCATAAATCAGGTCATTTGCTTTTGAAATATAAATTTCTCGCGCGTCACTTCGCGGAAAGCTGACGTAAAAATTACGTTAGCTTTCGACAGAGTGTCATTGAAATAAATATCGCCATCAAATGAAGCGAAAGGAGCGTAAAACGTCAGTGACAATACGTTCTACTATTCGATAACAAACATGCGTTACAATTATCGCGACCAGCGCGCGTTTGATGCCATGTACAAAAGCACACGGCAATTTCATTTCTTCGTTTCTTCGTTTTCGTCGACGTGCGGACGTCGAGGCGAGCAAAGCGATGAAAACGGTTCGTTGAACGTACGAATGAAAGTAGCCAATTTGGATATCGAGAAAATTAAGCAGAGCGTTGGACGAAGTCGCCGCTGGAGCATTGCGCGAATTATAGCTTGCCCGTTCGCGCGAAATAATATTATACGGTGTTTGCGAATTATACAAATTCGAATAAATACGGAGCTCGCCTGACGAGCGTTCATCAGATTGAACGAATTTGTCAAAGTGTCGCTTTTGAAGCGAGCAGAATTCAATACAGTGACACGAGAACGTTGCGCACAAGGAATTAGCGAATCAGAAGAAGTTTTTAATCGAGGAAGAAGCTCCCTTCCCACCTTCGAGCAGAAATTTGAATTGCAAATTCGGCTGCCGTTTTTAACTTCATTTTCATTGGAAATCCCATCGAAGGCTTTCCACTTGCCGTGAAAACTTGCAAATTTTCTTGACACTTGTCCGCGACACGAAACGAATCGCGAAGATTGCGGATATGCCGTGTGAAAGTCTGTGAATCTTTTTATTGTCCACGATTTTGAAGGAATTTTGTAGATCTTAAACAGTTAGCTTGTAAAATAATTCACCAATTTACCAATTTATAATATTAGCGAATAAACTTATTACGATAAATCATATAACTTTTAGAGTAAATAAAAATTTTATAATGAAGAAAATTTTTAACCACGTGATAATAAACTTTAGAATAGTATTTCACTGTAAAATTCCATTTTTCTAAGTTACACATAGACCTATAATTTTATAATTTCATAATTGTATGTGTAATTTGCAAAGTACCACTTATTAAAAATTACTGTTGATTAGAAATTATTTTATCATTGAAGAGAGCCATAATTCACCAATTTACCAATTTATAATATTAGCAAATAAACTTATTACGATAGATAATATAACTTTTAGAGTAAATAAAAATTTCACAATGAAGAAAATTTTTAAACACGTGATAATAAACTTTAGAATAGTATTTCACTGTAAAATTTCATTTTTCTAAGTTACACATAGACCTATAATTTTATAATTTTATAATTGTATGTATAATTTGCGAAGTACCACCTATTAAAAATTACTGTTGATTAGAAATTATTTTATCATCGAAAAGAGCCATTCGTGAATACTTTCGCGGAGAAAAAAATAATAAAGAATTCAAGGAGTGGTAAAAATGGTGAAAGATAGTGAAAATAGAACAGTAAAGTTTCACATAAATCGCGAGCTGTTGGTATCGATACATGTCTGCCACATGGTCATAATGCAATTAACGCGACGCAGACGTATAATCCTATTGAGCCACAACGTTGAATTAAAAGTCGACTAGTCGGTCAGGTGTCGACCACATCAATTTTCCTTCGACTAGGCCAGCACAGAGTCAGCACACAAGGTTCGTGATTGTCGTGCGTGTGTTTAACAGGTGTTGCTTCGTGTGTACACGTGACGTCACGCTGTAATTATACTGTCATGCGATTTGACACACGCGTCCACTCCACGTTTGGAAGAAATAACATAATGAAACGACCGATGGTGATTTTAATCGTTAATTAATACTGCGATTTAACGAAACGATTGTTACGACGAACGAACGTTAATTAATCGCGTGTCAGAATCATTCTCGCTTTGCAACAGTTACAGGAAGGGAAATTAAAGATATAAATTAGACAAAAGCGACTTAATCAAGTGGAAATGACGTTGACAAATTTCTGAACATTTTCGAGAATGTGCAGCGTTATGTTTTTTTTTTTTTTTTTATTTTTGTGAAAATTAATAATTGATAGATATTCTAGTGTCTAATTTATAGTACAGTGGGATTCTCAGCTTTCAAAAAAATTGCCTCTGTAATCCTACTTTAATATCTCAACCATGCGATCGAAATTTCGTAAATTGAACGAAATTTTGGGCCAATAACGGTATTCGAATTTAATTCCTCCGTCTCTTCACCCTAGTTGCCACTACAGAGAGTTTATAGAAGTGAACGAACTTCTTGAACGGCAGAGGTGAGTGAACTTGCGCTCTTTAATATGAATGGTGAGTGTTTCAGATGGTGCAGACGGGATCCAAAGGCACCGTTCGCGATTGACGTTCGATTTCACATAAAACACACGTCTGAATGGATTCTCAGAATCCACGAAGAGTACTGTTAACCGTGTTTGGATTGTACATTAGCTTCGATATCTTTTATTTGACTTTTTATTTGAATTGACAGATCTCTTTTATGGTTGCGTAATTTCATCGAGTTGGGCTGTAAGATTTCTTTCGTAAAAATTTCATCGTCAACGAGGAATGGTTGGTGTTCTGATATTCGTATTCGCTTCGTTATTTGATCAACATGTTAGACGCGTGTGTCAAATTTCGGTTAAAATTATTGTGCAACGTGTCCACTGTTGCGTTTGGATTCCTCTGGCCAATACGCGTCTTAAAATAGGATTATGCTAAGAGGATGCTTAAAATATCTTTGATATCCTTATCTCAGATTCTCGTTTAGTTCGGCATAAACTGATACGTATTCTTGACGCGTGGTCAATCGGCCAATCTTGTCTCTTGATTTTTTTTCAAACGAACAGTAGCTTCATAAAAAATTTGTATCGTATCTCATATTTAACTATCTGTAAGAAAATTCTTCAGTAAAAATATTTTGGATTTAAAACTCCATAGGGAAAATCGATTTTTATGTTCTACAAGGAACAACTAAATCTTACTAGAAAGAATGAAAAAAAATGAACTTTAAAAATAGATGACCACGAAGCTGTTGATTTACACCTCATAAAAAAATCTCACGAAGAGTGAGAATTAAACTTTTGTTGCAAACAAAATGAATTATAAAGTTCCAATGTACGTTGACAGATTGATTAAAATGGAACTTTCGAAATGTTTCTACAAGTGTTCGTATATTATTACAAGCGAGTTATATCGCGTGGCGAGCGTTCGAGGGATATTAAGAATTCGATCGACGGCGGAAAATGATAAAACGAGAGTGCAGAGGAGAGAGAATTACGTGACATGGTTGCAAATACGTACCGGCGATGCGTACATTCTTTGGTGCGTGACGCCGAATTTATCAGCGTGACTCCTGTTCCTCATAACTATCGTCACGGTGCTTGAACGTGCCCACTAATCACTATGATAATGCCTCTTCTGTGATAAATTTCCGTGCCTACGTGCGGCGCACGTTTCATCCAGATATTCGCTCGCAGGAATCCGGTCCTCTGTAAACAGAATCGTTTCGCTCTTTTACTCCATCTCATTGGCCACGTATTACCGCTTTATATTTCCACTTACGTTCCTCTACAGTGGAATTTCTAACATGTGAAGATGATTTTCATTTTAATCGGGGGGAATAGATTCAGAAATATTTGTAAATCGTCTTTTCGAGAAAAGAAAATCTGGATTCTCCGGGTTTTAAAAATTTATTGCAAGAGCGTGATGGTTAGCTGTATTGTAAAATCTTTTGGAACGCAAGTGCTTATGCTATTGATCAAGCTTCTTATATATATATTTAAATTTTCTGACAAAGAAAGAAAAGAATTTTCAACGTGAAATTATTTCTATTTGCTTTGTTAATTGGCGAAGTCATTTTCTAGCAAAAGTTCTGTTTCTTGGATAGAATTAAAATCGCCAACGAACAATTAGAAAATGCCAAAAGATTCTAATTAATCTTCATTACAGTGTGCCAGTTTTAAAGAAATTTATATTTCTGAAATTTTCGAAAATAATAATCATTAAACAAATTTTGTTATAGAAATAATCGATCAGCTGGTACGTGTAATTAAGTAAATTTCTCAATTACTTTCGAATTGGAGTTTACGGAGTTTCGTAAGGTATTTTATAAATTATGGAATATTAAGGAAACCAACGTGTTGAGTGTATCGTTACGTAAGACAAACTTTCTGAGGTTATGCTTACGAGCAAGGAGAGAATTTTTAAATAACGATATAAGAAATTTGCATATTCTACGTCAAGACGATCTTATCGCAAATTGCCATTAAAATCATTATTTCGAGGTAGAAATTTTGCAGAAGTTCAAGACTGAAAAGCAAAGTTTTAAAGTGAAATGATAAAAGTGTGTGAAAAATTTTTATACTCCCGTGAATTATCATATAAATTACGTTTTAGAGTATAAGTTGTATAACAAACGTATGGAGAATTGAAATAAAGTGAAATATTTATACATCAACTTTAAATCGAATTTCATTTCAAATCTATCGAACTCAGATAAAATTACAGAAATTTGAATTCTGCAATCAGAAGGCAATAAAATAATATTAATATCAACGAATTCATCCTAGTCTTCAATCAAATCAATTCAATTCGCAGAAATTCCGTTGGGATCTCAAATTTCCTTAATTATATTCAAGTTTTCGATGCGAAACATCTGGAATTGCATCGTGATAAAGCGTGCTCATGTAATTACATAACACGTTTGTTACACTGCTGTCGAGAAATGTAATTCATACCAGGGCTGTCTGCGCCGTTGCAACTAATGGCGTTAATTAAATAATTTTGACGGTGAAGCGCAGCTACGTTGGCACGCTGAGACATTTGTAAATGCAATCTGGTCACTTGTAATAGACTCTCAGAAATAATTAAGCTCTTGGTCTTACATCGTTTAACGGAACTTTAAATCATTCAAATTGCTAGAAGCGATTCGCTGGAATGTTCCAGCTTCATAACAGATCGACAGTGTTCTAAAATTTTGAGCACGAATGCAATATCGTCAAATATAATTACGTCATTCCGCGATACAAATATTACAATCAGAGGAGATATAATTGTTCGAATACTTCCGTGAACTGCCGTGAACACGCCACCTCGTTCGATTCAAAAATTTCTTTCAAGAAAAAGAGATTAATATTTAAAGATTTTCGAATGCTTTCAAAGAGTAAATTGTCCATTTTATCGGTAGGGAAGATTGGAAGAGGAAATTGCGCACGGTTGACACGAGTGCAGGGCCAATAGGGGGAACAAATCGCGGTGGTATCGGAGGAAATCCCTGCTTCCAACTCCGAGGGAAGTATTCGGGCTCTTTTCTTCGGATAGAGCTGCCGGCAACTTTCGATTCGTAAAAGTTCCCCTGGAGAAAGTTCGCCGGATCTACTTATCCTCCGAGCAGATTTTTTCGTTTGCTCGCGAGACGCGCGAATTTCCCTCAGAAAATGGGATGGCTTCGCAAAAACTTCGCCCCGCATCTGCAGTTCCTTCTTAGCATTTGTGTTTTCTAAAGCAGATGCTAAGAATAGATTTGGTCGAAAAGATAGTCACTGGGAAAAGAATCTGATGGTCGGTCTTTCCTGTATTTTTGAAAAATTTATTTAAAAATGACGGTCAATTCAGTGATTATTTTCTGAATTTTCTAAATTCCCCAAAATGCTTAATTCGTCGAGAAGTACCAAATAGAAGGAATTGTTTCTTTTTGTGCAATTAATTGAGCAGATAAATAGAATTCCAAGCAATTTCTTGAAAATGATTGTAATAGTTTTTCTTTCCAAGTCGCGTGTCCGAGCTCTCGTTGTTGGTTGTGTGTCTAATGATGTACTTTTATCGACGGAATGACCATATATCGAACGATAAACGCGCAACGTCAATTATTGGATGATGAGGAATGCCAGAAGCGTTAGAGTCACGTGTTTCTCATTATACATCGGCTGATGTCCCCGTTAAATGGAGGCGAATGTCAAGAAACGAGAAACATTAATGATATACGACATAATCAATGGATGCAGGCTGTGGAGCATCTTTTCTAGAAATATATCTTAGAGAGGAAATCGTCTATTATTGGACAATCAAACGAGTGATTTATTTTTTTAACAAATATTCTCTGTCTTGGGAATATTATCATATTTGCTATTTTTTTCTTTGAAATTCTATGACAGAAATATTTTGTTTAAATTGATAATTTCATATTTAAAATATTTACACTTAAAGTTTGAAAGGAAATATGCACGTGTTTTCATATCTTCAAGAACAAACCCAAGTCACTTTATCTCATTTCCTGTTTCTCGGTATTTCTTGCTGATACATGGATTCTTTTCAGCGAAAATCAAACAAGAAATTCACAATTTTTAATGTCGGTTAAGCTTGAGATTTCCAAGCTTTCAGTTGAAACCAAAATTAAACGAAAATATTTCCCCGAATGAGAAAGTAAATTTAATACTTTTCGTACAGGTAAACATTCTTACATACAATATCCTCTACCAAAATATTTGATTTCAGTTTGTTTGAAAATAGAATAAAAAGTCGAATCGTCGAATTTCGCGAATCGTGTTTCTATATCCTTCTTTTATTTTATTTTTATTCTATTCTGGTGTTCGTCGAATGCCTGCGTCTTTTCAAAGATTTTAAAGTGATAAATCGTTGTTTAAATTTTCTGAAAATAAACGCACCGATATATTGTCAAATCATTATTGAATTTTACGCACAGCACGATACGCAAATATAAAGTTTGTTTTCTTTACTGTGACAGAAACTCCTTTGAGAACTGAGAAATTTGCGATATTTCCATGCTGATAGAGAACCACCAGAAATAACTCGTCGGTTTACGAAAATGAAAATTTTCGGGGATTATTTTCTTTCCACAGAATTAAGAATACAAGAACAATTTAATAATTCTAGAAAATGTTATACTGCAAATAAGGAGTTTGCACTTAATGAAATATTACTTTTTGCAAGTCGGACAGTGATAGACAGTCCTGATTGTTCTAATTCTAAATCAATTTTCCTTGTTTGAAACTTTAGGATTTTGTACAGAAAAATATCAATGTAAAAGTTATTTTGTAAATTCACTTTAGTTATTATTGTTTTGAAATGCTGAGTATTTGAACTGAGTATTCATATTCACATTAATAAAACAGTTATTTTTCGAAATCACAATTCTTAAAAACAAATAAATTAAATAACTAAATACTATTGTTTCAACAAATAAACTAAATAACTAGATACTATTGTTTCAACAAAATGTTTATAAAAAAAAACTATAAAGAATGAACGTTAATTCTTTCTATGCGTTTCTTTCTCACCTGAAAGAGATGGGTCTCTCTATATTCTTCGAATGTTTCTAAAACAAGGGGATATCTATTTTTTTGTTGGTCTTCGTTGATGGATTCGATGAAATGGAAAATATCGAATCGGCCAATGGCATTTTTCTTTATATCTTTATCTCATTATTTGCTTGGCTCTGTTTTGCTGCATTTGTTGCAGAAATAAACGGATTGGAAAGACCTTGCGTGGAGAAAATAATTCCAAGTTTTCCGAGAGATATGGAAAAAAACTGAAGTCTTCGAAGGGCATAAGACTACGCTTATACTCGCGATATTTTTACATCGTTCAATTTAAAATATCTCATCGTTCCGATAATTATCGAAGCAAAAAGTTTTTCTTTTTAAAAAGAAATTTCTCAACGAAAATTTATTAAAATAGAGAATGAAAAAATGAAGTGATTGATGAACCTCAAGAACGCCACGATAAATTAGCAAATTCTATTTCAGAAGTTTCCGCCAAAGAAAATGAATTAAGCGAAAAGTGAGCAGTTGAAAATCAAAGGAAACGTCGTTTATTAAAGAGAAATTATATTATGCTGCCGTTTCCATTAGAGGATCAAATGAATGGAATATAAAATACAGGATACGAATTTATTTGAAAATAAACTAACATGGAAAATGAAAATGAAAAGATTATTTCTGTTATTTATTCCAAAAAGCTGAAAAATTCAGACTGTTGAAAAGATATACGACTTTAATATATATTTATAGAAGTATCCAATTTATAGAAGTATCCATTTTATTACTATGCCGACTTTATTGTTTTATTGACATTTATTTTCATGCAGAAACATCAATAATATTTTAATGTTCCCTGAATTTTATGTGATAAAAATCGCAATTGTTTACAAATTTTTATAAAATAATTATTATATGATATTTTCCATAATATAAGAGTGATTAAATATATATTGTTTCAGTTTAATCTTAATTTATACAAAACTTTTAAAAGCTAAATTGTTCGACTCTTCACCAATTTCTAATTTCAGTACGTAAACATACAAGTAATAGTCATTACTTGCACAAGTTGATTCGTCTTTTCGTTTCAAATATACAATTACTGAATAGTATTGTATAGCAAACTAACCTCTAATCTTACCTGTTACTAATTAACCTCTAATCTGCTCACTTCATACAACACACAGATACACTTAACCAAATCGTTCAAACACTATAAAAAGAAAACAAAGGTATTTTACAATCTGACTATACATTTATCTAATTAAACCATGATTAATCTTACCTCAATCTTTCTGCTCGAATTTTTTATTCGTTAGCATTTAGTAACTACACGAACACTGCAAGTAAAAAGAAATGCTCAACTATTCGTCTATACGATTTACTCCATATTACTCCATAATCTTACCTCGTCACTCTCTCTCTCTATTCGATTCTTCTTTAGTCGAACAATTAATGTTTAAAACAATCTTCGAAACAACACTGTGGAAGGAAAGAGGAGCAGTCGAAAGGGTTAAGAGGAAGCGCGCCCGATAAATTGAACGCGTTCGACTCGCGGCGCTCGGGTTCGTACATGTTCGTGCACGGTCGGCCGAGTTCGGGCAGGGACGAGCGAGCTAGGCAGCGCCGCAGCGCGGGTAGTTTTCGTGCCTGGTTCGTCGTGCTGTTCGTCGTTCCGGATCGTGTGTTCGTCGTTTCCGTGTACGGTGGTGGGCGAATTCGCGCGAAAAGCACGCGCCACGGAGGACGTGTTGTGCTTTCATTCATCTGCCGCGCCGCGGCTTTCTCACGACGGAGAGCGACGAAAAATCGGCCCGGCGATGTCCCTCCTTCTCGTGCTTGCTGTTCCTTTCTCTGTTGGCGCTGCACGGCAGCCTCTCAGTCAGTAGTTAGTCAGCCAGTCGTGTTCAGTGCCGGTTGATGCGCGTGTTCTGCGCTCGTGCCACGTTTTGCATTTGAAAATCACTCGTCGCGCGTGCCGAAGTCGTCCAGCCACGATCGAGACGGTCCGAGTTCATGTGCGAGTCGATAGAATGCCTTTCGATATCTCTCGTTCGATTTCGACGTCGAACAAGCCAGTCAGATTGGTCCATTGCTCGTGTAGTCTCCCCCGTGGATCGTGAAATTTTTTTGTTTTGAACTTTTTCGATTGCGAAGTCTTGTGCGTTTTATGAATGCATGACAGCTTCATGTTTTCATTGTTAACGAATTACTTGCTCGGAGAATTTGATTCCGTCAATTCGTTCCTCGTTGTAAAGCGTTCGATGGCTTAACTTTCGATGATAATCTGTAAAAAAAAAAAAAAAACGATGTGGAGCGTATAAAAGCGAAGAATTTCGTAAACGAAATTCAATTTCTACAGATTGTATCGTAAAAATCCGTATAATTTACAGTCTCAACGTACCGTGTAATTTATTCTCTGTAATTCTCTCCATTCTTGCAAACAAGTGGATTAAATTCAATTCGCATATGAATTGGCTGTCTCGATTATGATACACTCGCGAGTATGTACCGTGTCGTTCTCCGCTTGTGTTGCGACTTCGCGGTCTAACCTTCTTTCTCTCTCCCCAGTGGCGATTTAAATCTAGTTTACGTCGCGATCTCCGCTTGTTTTTGTGCGCCAAGTGCGTGTTTAAGTGTGCTGTGTCCTGTTTATATTGTCGTGTGCGTTTACAGACGACGAACATCTAATCGGCGAGAGCAGAAACCACGAGATCACGTGAGTGCAGAAATTACGACTTTATTTCACTGTTTAATTTTCAATGAAATGCACGCGAGACACTTGTATAACCTCGTATTCACTTCGTAACACTCGTTGCTTTTTTCCTTTTCCTTTTCCTTTTTTTTAAATCGAGCAGAATTTTTATCACAACGAATATACTACGCGCTATTTTATGCGTAAAAAAGGAAACGAGGGAGTGATAATTCACACGCGGTTGCGTAACTTTCCCACGGTCTGTCATTTTTGCGGTATCTTTACAATAAATGTCAATTATCACACTTTGCAGGAACGTCGTTGTTACTAGAAAAATAAAAATAAATTCTAGTAACAATGGTGGACAGCAATTATTGTTATTGTTTTTAAGGAAATATTGGTGTTATACATACCTCGTACGCACTGGTACACAGACTGATGGGTAAATTATTGCAAATCGCCATGTTCAATAGGCTCGATATACATTCGAGAGTTCCCCCACTCCTCGGCAAGCTAGCGAGTGCGTTGCTGGCAAGGGCTGATGGGTAAATTATTGCAAACCGCGGCATTCGACAAGTGTCTCGCGTCGCGCGCGTCCTTTTCTTTAAAATTCGTCGGAAATACACTACCATTCATCAGTTTCGGGACAATTTGCGCGTCGATTGTGACGTGTGGTTAAATGGTGCGTGAATTTTACGAAAGTGTACGAATTAACGAGGCAATAAGAAGAAATGACTGAGAAATAAAAGTTGAATCATCTGCAGAGAGGCAGCGACCTGGTATGTCACTATTAAATATCACTGCTTAGATTCGTTTTTATTTCATTTAATTTATTATCCGTAACATCGTGATATTCTTTTGTATGCGATCGAAATATTATTGAATGGTGGTGTATGTACAATATATAATAATATAAGTGAGGTTAGAACGATGGTATCAATGCTGTGTGTCACGTAATCGCCAGGATTCGACAAGAATTGTCGCATAATTATCAGAACTTGAGGGGGGAAAAAAAAACAGGAAATACAGTGTGTAATGCAGATTTGCAAAGAGTAGCGACAAGATAAACCGTCTTTTGTCTAACACGAATGTAATACTCCGTTTCGCTTCCGTTTTCGTAACGCGGACAATGGGATTCGAGACAAAGTGTGAACAATTAGTTAATCAACTTTGTATCAATAGTCGCGATTTTTTTATGATATCCCGTCGAATCACGTCGCTGAGATCAGACGCTATTGTGGAGAGAAAACGATTACAACGACGGAATACGAATAATTTTGTAGCAGTCGGTAATGAAAGGAATAATTTATTCTTTTTTGTGAATATTTCAAGCTTAGAAGCGTATAAGTATAAAAGCGTACAAGTATAGAAGCGTCAAGTATAAAAAATTCTAGAATTTTTTGTTCGCTATGACTTATAAACATTTCCATATCGTAAATTTCATATTGACGTTTCTACACTACGAACTTTGTGTTAGGAAAATTTACTACCTCCTATTAAAATTTGAATTCCAATTAACTAGAAGTCAAACATTCGATCTTGGATGCATACCGAACTAAAATTTGTTTATGATATTCTCTTGAGTCGCGAAAATATTCCAAAGATGAATGAAAATTGCATTCCTGACAATGAAACTAATATAACTCTGTGCTGTATAAGTTATATTTAATATTGTCCACATCACGAACGACTGACAATCACGACTTCAATGGTCGTTGGAAGATAAATATTTAACATTCAAAGGCATACGAAGCCATGACCGAAAGTTTCACCATCCTCTCGTCGGTCTTTCTCTTCTTCCACAAACGTAATATTCGTTTAGCTCTCTCAATATGTACAATATCGTTCGAAACGAAGTGAGAATAATTAGTTATTAACCCCGTTCATTCAATGAAATTGTTTGACGTACCAGCGACTCTCCTGTTGCTGTAGTATAAGCTCGGAAAAGATTGTTTAAAGTTGACGAAGAGGGGCGTTCTATTCTCGCGGATCCAAGTTTTTCCGTTAACTTGTTCTCGTTATCCATGTTTCCGGTTCTTCTCGCCTGAAAACCCACATTCCTCCGGCAATTTTCATCTTCGCTCGTCAAACTTATATTATTCCATCCTTGCTCGGAAATTTCACCGCGCACGTATAAAAATTCAGCACCCTGATTGCGTCTCACGAATTTTGCATTCTTAGCTGTCACGTAGATATTAAAGTCTCATCAATTAAGCAAAAGGGAATTTCCGAAGCGAAAGAAAATTTATTCGCTGAAATAGAAGTTCATCGATCAAAGTATTTATTCGTCAATTATCGCATTATTAATGTTCATGATTTGGAAGAATGAATGATTTCAGAAGCAACGAATAAATCCGCATAAACCGCAACTGATGCTTTTCAATTGAACGACGATTCAAAAGTAGAGCGTTCGCTATATTATACAATAAATATTCACGTTATATCACAATAAATTTAACAATATCCTACGTTGTAATCCGTGGAGTGTAACACAAATGCGTTTGTAGTCAATCACTGTTTTTAAATAAATTAATCAGCAGACCTGAAATTACTGCTCCATTAATTTTCTAAATCATTGTTGCTGCTGCTCCGATAAATTGCCGATTAACATTGAAACAGCAAGCTATAGCTTGAAATTACACGAATTTCAGTATTAATAAAACAATTATGCCGGGTGGAATCGGCAACGATTGTTGTAGAAATTCGTCGAGACATGCCAATTTATACAAACTGCGGGCATCGTATATCGCGAAATTCGTTAAAAACAACCTGTTCAAATGCACAAACAGAGTTCCTGTTTATGAAAATTCGTTCCCGCGAGTTGCACTTCAAAATCAGGGGAATTTTCCACGCAGGCGGGAAAACACGAGTGAACAAACGAGCAACTATTTCGATACCTGCAGAAAACACCACCATAGAGTTCCTCGGTGCGTTTGCTTTCACGCGGATTTGTTTCGGCTTTCGTCGCGGTAAAGTTCGAGTATGAATCTCGTTATTTTTAGTCGAGAAAATGGATCTCGTTATTTTTAGTCGAGAATACGCCGGCTTGTTAGGCGACTAGGAATTAACTAACTCTCGGCTTTCGAGCCTTTTGAATTTCTGTATCTATGCATTTGGTTTGTTTGAAATTTTTCGAAGCTGCGTATCGAAAGTTTTTTTCTTTCATCAGCTCTTTAATGAAACCATGTAATTTTAAATGGTACGTAAAAGCTGTTACGGCGCAGCGCGACGGTGAAGTGAACAAACGAGCCGCCGGAGAGATGTTTTTATGAATGAGGACGAGAATAAATACTTATATTTCACTATTATACAAATATTGATTGTAAATGTGGATGTGTTATGAATCGGGCACGCTAGTTCTCTGTTTTGACCGACTGCTTGTGACTGATTCCTTGCTCTGTGCGTGAATCTACGATTTTATGGCCATAGCCAAGTATTCCTTTTCCTAGGCTGGGCTTTGTTCCTGCCCTATCGAGGCTTTCCACACCTTGTCTCTCTGTCCAAGGCCAGAGAAAGTGTCCTTAGATGAGAGTATGACAGGACATCTGGCAATTCTCGACAGGGTCGAGGCTTCTTAAGAATTGACCTGGCTAACGCCTCGGAGGATTCTGTTCTGCGCCAGAACAGGAGCTTTCAAAAATGAATACCAACGACTGGCTGTAAATTCATTCTCGCGACAATAGTGTAGATTTACGTATTTGTTTGCGATGCAATGCGTGTCCGTAACAAAGCTGGGAACGATCTCTCTCGCGATGTGTCGCAGGAAGTCGCGGCTGGAGACGTGGAATCGCGGATTATGTAAGCTCGTTGGACTTCGATGGGCCGTCGAATTGGAAAAAAATGCGAGTTCGTGACTCCTATTAGCGATCGATTCGTTACGCAACCGCGACTGATCGTTCTCTGTTATTTTCTTCTCTCTTTCAAGAAAGAAAAGATTGAGCTTCTGCCGTTAGAATTGTTAAAGAAGTTCTTCGAATTGTGGCACTGGAATCGACGAAAATTCTATAACAGGCTATTTTTTGGAGGATTGAGAGTAGAATAAAATTTTCCTAAAGATTTAAGAATATAATTTTCCATCAGTTGGTTAAATTTAACAATTTCGTGTTGTATATATAATTTTTTTAAACGAAGATAGTAAAATTTTTCTGGATCCACAGAAATATTTCATAAATTGTTTACCAAACTTGTGTGAATTTTATAGTACTTCTGCGCAGTTATTGATAGTTTAAACAAAACTTAGTTAAAAATTAAATCTAGTTAAAATTCTATTTATATTCTAAAATAATATTCTCGAAGTTAAATGATAATTTCTTCAACGAATCCTACAAACAGTAAATTAAGCGTGATTGCCGTGTAATTGACTATAAAACTGAATTACAAGATATTACTCCAATCCGCGCACAAAATTACAATATTTCCAATGAAGAACAACATTTAAGCGAGGATTGCTTGCAACACCTTCAGCGCGAGAAATCACACGTGCGAAGCGTATTATCCTGCCTCTTAAATTATTAAACAATTTTAGTAGAAGCCATAAAAATGGAAAATACACAATTACCATAAATTTGAACGCTACTGGGGAATTATAATAAATCTCTGTTCTCCGTTCTCTGTTCTCCTCCCGAACGATCATCCCGACTCGTAGCTTAGCTTGTTCAGTAATTTTCAATCGGTTTAACCTCGAGGAAACACGGAATCCCCAACGTGCGTTGCTGAAAATTGTTCGACCATATTTCTTTTCACCTGTCCTCCCGTTTTCTAACGATATTTCTGCTCCATCGAGCGTTTATACGTCTTCATTGGACGTGCAACAGATGGATGTTGACAACCATTCTAAATTCATTGATTGCATTAGATACGGAGAAGTCAAGTTGTTAAGTAATTTTCATTCATCGTGAATTAATATTGATTTAATATCAGTTAATTTGTATTATGCAATAGTCGCTCAATTTTTCATGACTCTTTTGAAATAAGTTTTCACTTCCTTTTCATCTGATAAGTTGATAGCTGAAAAGAACGTGGATACTTTTTTTTTATTTCTAAAATAGAAACTTCAGAGATTAGTTTTATTAAATAAAAATAATCAGTTACTTAATAACTTGCCGATTGAAAATCAATGTGACTCTTTTCCTAGGGAATTCTTTTTAATTTCGTTCTCAATTGGTATTTAGAATTAATTGCGGAGTAAGATTTCTGTGATTTCCCAAGATGAAATTCTAGATATTGGTTGGCGATTGAGTAGATTTTATTTTTTTATTTCGTCGTGCGCGGCAGCAAATTTATTTTCTACGAATGGATTTAGTTTAACCTTTGTTTAAGCGACTAGTAATTAAATTGAATATTTTTCCGTTTTTGAAAGTTGTCTGATAATATTTATCTTTTCGTTTTAAAAATTAAAATAGATTAAAATATTGAAAAGACTTAATTAAAATAGATTAAAAGATTAAAAAAGACTTTGATTCGTGCGTAGCAACTAAAGACTAATGTAGGATTTTTTAAATAAAAGAACTGTATTTTCGTCGACTTTTTTTTACCTTGAAACCCACGGTGTAGCACACGGTTGAATTTATCTCCGCTTACGCTTTTTCCACACGTTATAAAAAAAAAAAAAAATTTTGCCCTTAGAGTAGACTACAACAATTGGTAAACGACCCACGTAAATATAGCAGCCTCTAGCTATACGCATGGTCATCGAAGGTTAACAGCAAATTAATTCCACGGAACTTTGTGTTCTAAAACCAAGTCCAGCGAGTAATTAGGAGTAACAAAAATTACAGGA